CATGCTAGCATGCTCACCATACTTGACTGGTCGCACAGGGTCAGACCTCATTCGGTGTGGGAGGGGGCTTTTCAGGGCCATGAATATCAGGAAGTGAGGATTATTAGGAGTATCTTGGAAACCAGGTAGAATAGACGAAAATTTCAAAGTGAGACAAAGCCTCTAAGCACTTCTAAAGTTGTTGTAAGCTATGAAGCCTGGAAGAAACAGTTGTTGCCAAATAGGATGGTGCCTCTCTTTGAAAAGACAGCCGTCTGGATGGATTGTACCTCCCCTTGCCACATGCACCATGGGTCAGTTTTTTCCTGATGGAGTTGCTGACATCTATGAAGAATTATTCTTTAACACCCTACCCCCTGCCCCAAACAGCTCACCCATCTCATAGAAGGCCAGACGAGAGTCTGGGGTTGGTTAGGGCTTAAGCAGCCTACCCTCATCTTTGGGCAGGAACATGACTTGGCTCCTCTGGTATATTGAGGCTGTCATCAAGCCCTTGGATAAAGTGCCCAATGCTTGCCTTTCAGTCTGTCAGCATCCCAGGGCTCAGTGACAGCACGTCTGCTCCTTCTCCTGCGTCCTCTTGGGGGCACCTATGCCCTGAGTAGCGTGGAGGAGATCCACTCCTACAACCTGCATCTGGGAGTCTTTTCACAAGATTAAAAGTAACTGTAGAAGAGAAGGGCAGGAACTCTGAGGAAGCCTGGAGGAACCCACGAGAGTCCCATATTCCTTGGCTATATATTTAATAACAAGCACCCTTCTGAGCTGGCCGAAAATCCACAATGTTTACATAACCATTTCATATTCGGTTACTGTCATACTTTGAAGCAGTCAGATAAATTTAAGGGGCCAAGAACACAAATTATATAAAATAATAGCAAATATTTAATAGTAATTGGAAAAAGGGGATTTGGGGATACATACTTATTTATATTCATAGAAAAGAAACAATAGGTTTGGAGGCAATAGGTAAAATTTCTTCTTTTCTTTTTTGATTGAGGTGAAAATTCCTGTATTACATATTGTTTATATCAATTTCCTTTTGAAAATTAGAATGTTTCATTTTATTTAACTGTGGCTAGAAAAGATATTTTCAGTTTCTCTTTTTAGTATAGCATCTTAAATTAAATACAAACCCCAAAATATGGATCTAAATGCTGCTGAATTATCCAAATAAAGACTCCAAACAAATGTTATTATTGGACAATGGTTATTATATTTTCAATTTAAACACGGCTCTATTTTTAGTCTATAGGCTGAAATTATTTGCTTAGTTATGCAAATGATGGTTTATTACCAAATTCTTATATTAATTTCAACTTATCTCCACTGATCTTATTATATACTAATTCAATACTCATAAATTCTATGAACTTTTCCTTTTCTTTATTAATAAGTTAGTGTGATTGGTACAAAGGACTCTAAGCTATGAAAATACTCAGTATTGGAAGTAAATCTAGAGCTTTAGGTCTTTGAAGTGTAAAATACTTCTTAGGAATAAATTAGTCCTTTAAAAATGTTAAACTTCTCTCTTGGCAAACCACCATATTGCGTGGATTGTACAATGTACAGTTTTCACATTTAAATATCTCTGAAATAGGATGCATCTTAGAGTTGATTCCTTCTTAGACTCCATGAAATACAATATGTTGTTGCTTCAGGGTATTGGCCAATACTCCAGTGGTCAGAAAAAGGCTGCAGAAGACACCTCACGTATGTAGCTAGGACAGCTCCAACTTCTCAAGTCTGTTGAGGATGTTAGTTATTTACTCCCTCCACTTTTACTTTACTACAAAATAATAAAACAACAAACACTCCTATCAAAAATAATGGAAATAGAATTGCTTTTGATAAAAGAGGGTAATTTTTTTTATAACACTATTTTTTTTTTTTCTCTGTGGGTCTTACGTTCCTCAGAACTACTAAGAAGTTAATTGCTGAGGTTGGATAACATGGCCTTTTATTTGAAAGGCTCTCAAAGGAAATTATATAGCAATAAACCTTTTTTCTTAACATCCCTAAAACACAATTCATTATAAAAAAAAAAAACCTTTTAAGATATGTCACGTATGTCCTGGGTTCTATTTTAAAAAGTTTCATTCCAAAAGCCCCAGTTCCTCCTTACAAAGGCCTCACCCTTCAAGGACATGGCGGAAACGATGACAAGTTTGAAGACAGCTACACTGGAGCGTGGCTACGGTATCTGCATAGCTTACAGTGGGTTCTGGATACAGGGAGTTAGAAGTTATACTTTATAATAAGCACTGTCATAGTAGTTTCTCTTTTTTCCATATATATTTATATTATTAAATATTATATTATTAAATATTATTATTTATATTGTGAAATTCAATGCTCTTTGTAGATATATTAGATAAATAGTTATTAGAGCTAACAGATATTGATAAATTAATATCTGCCTGGCACTGGCTAAGTGTTGAATTTTTTACATGAAGCAAAGATACACTTCTTTAGTGTCAGTGCAGGAGTGTTAAATTCTCTTAAGAGTTAGGATATTGAAAAAGTTTAGGTTTTTGGGTGGGGTAAGTCCTGTGTATAGAACCAAGAGATAACATATCTCCAGAATTTTCTTAAATACATAGATTGGATACAACATGATCAATTATGCCATAAACTTTCAAAAATATTACTTAAGGTTTTGTAATACCTCATGTAAAATTATGTTCTTTAGAAAATGTATTGCACGGCTTGGCACAAAATCTATAGCCCTATAAAAATCTGATATATTGGCCAAAAGGTAGTGCGAAGGTAAGGATTTAATTGTAGCAGTTCAAACACATATAGGCTTATGCAGACACTTTTCACTGTGCCATCATCTACTGCTGTATAACAAACTACTGCAAAATTTAATGACTTAAAACATCAATCATTTTATTATATTTCACTGTTTTGAGGGTCAGAAATTTAAGCAGGGTTCTGCTGAGTGGTTCCCTTGTTCCACATGGCATCAGTGGAGGTCACTGAGAGGTATTCAGTTGATGGATGGTCTGGTCTGGAGGATCCAATAAAAGTCGGCAGGATTCAACAGGGGATGCTGGAAGGCAGGGCTCAGCTGGGACTGGTGACCTGAAGACATACACAGTGGTCTTTCCAGCATGGCAGTCTCATAAGAGTTAATATTTTTGTATGGCAGCTCAGGGCCACCAGAAAGTATGTTCCAAGACAACTCAGTAGAAGATGCAAGTTTCACTGTAGCTTAACCTTGAACATTTAAGATATTTTATTTTTGAAAATCCTCCGTATCCCAGTTTCCAAAGCAAGTCACTGAGGTCAGTCCCAATTTAAGGGGTGAGGAATTAGACTCTATCTCTTGATGGGAGGAAAGCAAAGAAGATGAGGCCAACTCTAATCTACATACAACTAGACCAACTGATGGAGCACCTGGGCATAGCAACTATCCTTAGACTCCCTCTGTCTGGAATGCTTATGGCTGGACGGACAGCATTTACTTCTGCAATGTGTTCTGGTTCTCTGCCAAGAGAAGATGAATCCAAATCCTCAGATATGAGCAGTTGGATTCGTGTGTTCTACTGTTGCTCCATTTTTTTCTTCACTGAGCCATTATGATGAAAAAAAGTCTTTCTGTGTGTTTGGTGTCTATTATGCATTAGTTTTAGAGCTTTTCCCAGTCTCGGACCCTAGAGGGTCAGAGCTACAAAGGACCCCAGAGATAAAATCTGGTTGTGTTTTATAGATGAAATTTAGGTCTAAAGTAGCTATGTGACCTGTCCAAGGTCAGAAACTGATTAGGGACAGAGCCACAGCTGGAGTCTCCTGCAGCGTGCTTGAAGAGAGGCAATCTTGATTCATCTGTAGAATGGGTACCCTGTTCTCCTGATTTTTCCCCTAGAAATAGACCAGTGGCCTTGACTCGGTCTCCCATTTTATCATACAATATTTAAAAAGAAACCACATATTTCAAGTACACCAATTTATAAGATATATCTAACCTATTTTCTCAGTTCACATTCAACAAATGTGTACTGAGTACCGACCAAGTTCTGGCGTGTATACAGACATGACTGCCTTCAAGAGGCTTTCCTTCCAGTTAAAAGGCCATAACACAAAGTTTACAACGGCCACTTTGCTCTGGGCTACTTATTTGATCATGCTATTTTATCTTTAAGTATTTCTATAACACGTGTTCCCTCCTCCTTTCATTTCCAGGACAGACCAAGAGGCCTACGATTCTGAGGTTTTAGTCTACTCGGAGCATGGATTTGGAGTGGGTGATAGTAAAACAATCATCAGATCAATGGGGAAGTCTAGCTGTTATTGCTCCTTTTGTTTCAAGAGATATTTGCTCATTAGATGAGGTGACAGATAGCTTTGACTCTATCTCGTCCATGGGGACTCTAGGTGGCTGCCCTAAATACATGCATGCAGTCGTGGTAGCTTGGATTTTCTGTTTATGTGATATGCCGTCACCATTAGCTTTTGTCTTCTGCTGTGGCTAATTTATCTTTCTCCCGGACCAGCCGGGAGAGGAGGAGGAGGAGGTGTGGACAGGACTCGCCCGCAGACTGTGACACCGCCTTCGATATCACGTCCACCCCAGCCCGCGGCTCCCAGAGCTGGGCGGGGCCACTCTTCCCGCTCAGCTGGGAGGAGCCCCAAGCCGGTGGTCCTGCCCCGGGTAGGGGTGGAGAGGGGCTGGTGGTCCTGCCCCGGGTAGGGGTGGAGAGGGGCGGGTGAACCGCAGACCCGGATCCTCCCCAGGAGACGTCAAAGGCCCAGCGAAGGCAGGCCTTCCGGGGTGGAAAGGCAGTGAGGTGTGTCCCTGAGGCCGCGGGTGCGGGGAGCGGCGGCAGTTCGCTCCCCGGGACTCCGGGCCGGCGCCGGCTCCCGCGGGTGGGGAGAAGGAACCAGATGGGCGGGTTCAAGCGTTGGCGGCGGCGGTCCCGGGGCCGCCGGCTCCTCCCCGCAAGTGTGCCTGTCTGCCGCTCGCCGCGCTGAGGCAGTGCGGCGGCGGCGGGCGGGCGGGCCGAGGCTGCCGCCCAGCGCCCTCACCGAGGCCATGCCCGGGCCCTAGCGTGCCTGCCGCATCCCGCGCCCAGCGCCCCGTCCCGCGCCCCGCGCCCCGCGGCCCCGCAGCCCCGCGCCCGCCGCCGCCTCTTCAATGGGCAACCTGCTCGGCGGGGTCAGCTTCCGCGAGCCCACCACCGTGGAGGACTGCGACTCCACCTGGCAGACGGACTCGGAGCCCGAGCCCGAGGAGCCGGGGCCGGGCGGCGGCGGCGAGGGCCCGGGGCAGGAGCCCGAGCAGCCTGCGCAGCCCCCGGAGCGAGTCGGCGGGCGGCCCCGCGCCGGCCCCGCGCCGGACGAAGACGCCGAGGCGGCGGGCGCCGAGCAGGTACGCGGCCCCGCGGTGGCCTCGGGCCGGGCCAGGGCGCCCCTGCCCCTTGAGGAAGGACGTCGCCGGGGACAGGAGCAAACGCCGAGCGATCCCCGCGCACAGGGGGCCGGGGCGCCGGTGGCTGCTGGTGCTCTGCGGCCGGACCCCTCGGCGCCCGCGGCCGTCCCGCTGCCCCGCGGCCCGGGGGGCCTGCCGTGGCCGGGAGCGCCGGAGCCGTCCCCTGCCGGCCTGGGGCCTGACCGCGGGCGCGCTGAGGAAGTCCCTCAAGGCAGAACCCAACTTGAATGGGTGTTTTCTTTGCCTCTGCAGAGCAGCTGGGTGCTGCGAAGGTGGGGTGGGAGGAACCTGTCCAAAAATAGAAGATTGTGAAAACCGGTCTAGTGCGTGTTACTGGTAAAAATTACCCAGAATAAGGAGGGACTGCAACTAAGGAGCTGCGAGCACTCTCCCCTACAGTAGGGTCTACAGCCATTAAAAGTATTGCGGAAGGTCCCCAACCGAAGTTGAAATGCCACAATTCTTACCCTAAGTAAGGCCTTTCAACTGAGGAGTTCAGGGCACTCTTCAAAACTCTTGGATCACCCAGAGACTTGTTGATCCGACTGTGCTTAAATCATTTGCCTAATACAATTTGGAGGAGAGGTTAGTAAAGAGATAAATATCCCTTTTAACCTCTGACGGACTGAAAATAATTCAGAAGACTAAAAAGGAGGAACTGTATAACCAGCCCTCTAAAAGAAGTGGGCATCGTGGAGGTATTTAAGGTTTGGGGTTCTGCATTAGGCCCTCCTCTTTATCAGCTGGGAAGGAATGAGAGTGAGGAGAACAAAAACAGAAACAAAACACAGAGCCCAAAGTCAAATATGACCACAGGGTGCTTGGCTGGAGTAGAGGAGTCACCACCTAAATATTATAGCTAAGGCTGCCTCGTAAATTTGGATGATCATCTCTGTGTAGGTCAGGAGAAAGCAAAGTCCCAATGCAGGCTCTATGCTAAACATGTTATTCCAGTCACCTGCAATTTCGGGGGTTGGGTGGGAGTTGCTGTTTTTCAATCCCCATTTTAGACAAAACGGAGGCTTAGAGAGTTTGAGAAGCTTGCCCAAGAACATCCAGGGAGAGAATGAATGATGCAAACCCAAGTATGTCTGTAACCAATGTAGAACCTTGAACCTGTTGGAATTGCGACTCTCTCTCTGCCCCTGGTGTTCTGGTTTGCTGATGGGTCATTTGCATTGTGAATTCAACACCCCCCCCCCAAAGTATTAGAGGCTGTATGCCAGTTTCCCTTTCTCTTGTCTCCCAATTAAGTAACCTCAGAGAAGTCTGGGATATCAAAAAACACCAGCTTAGATTCAATCCAGCTAACTAGGTCCATCTATATAAAACAATTTGATAATTAACGCTTCAGTCTGTTGATTGTGACCCCAGAAAATGGTAGACCACAGCAGCCCTCCCTTTTCCCCTTTAATGATTTATTTTTCTTGTTAGTGTCACCATTTAACTTCCTTAAAAAGATCTCCTTTTTAATGTTGCTTTTTGACTCTCAACTCCATTTGTTGCCTCTCCCCATAGTCATTTGCAAGTACTACTAGAGCTACCTTTAGAATATATCCCAGTCTGACTACTTCTCACATCCTTCATTGCCTTCATTCCTAGTTCAAGTGAATATTTGACAAATGATGGTGCCATTTAAGTAAGATGGGCAAGTCCGGGGGAAAAAGCATCATCGGAGGTTAAATCAAGAATTCTCTTGAATTTTATATCCTATTAGACATCTAAGTGGAATTCCTAACATACCTGTGGATGGAGCCTTAGTCCAGGACTGCAATCATCAGCTTCTAAGAATGGTGGTGTACAAAGTCCTGGGAGACATGTGGTCGTTAAGGACTGATGAGGAATAAGAACTAAACCCTGGGCACTCCTCAATTTAGAACCTGTGAAGGGGAGGAGGAGCCAAAGAGAAGGCTGAGAAGGGGCGACCAATGAGATAGGAAGAAACCAGGAGAGGTGTGGCACCTGACAGTGTTTCCGGAAGGAGGGAGACAACATTTAACTGGCCAGTGCTGCTGGGAAGTTGCTTGAGTTGAGCACTGAGACATGGTTTGGTGAAAATGGAGATTTCTTAGTGATGTTGAAAGAGCCGTTTAGATGGAATGCTGAGGATGAAAGCCTGATTGTGGTGGGTCATCGGAGAAGAGGAGAAGACGGGGGTATGCACAATTCTTTGGTGATATTTTCCTATAATAGGGAGCAGAGCTATGGATCTGTATTTGAGGGGGGATTTGGTCAAGGAACGTTGTGTATGTTTGTATTAAGATTAGTGATACTATAGCATGTTTGTCTGCTGAGGGGAATGATCCAGAAGAGAGAGAAATTTTGATGATGCAGGAAATAGGAACAATATATTAAGGAAAAAAATCCTTGGCTGAGCAGGTGAAAGGCAACAGGATAGGGAATCCAAAAGGAGAAGTTGGAGGAACAAGGTCAGATGCTTGCAGGTTGGTACATTTAGAGGTTGGAGGATGCAGTCATTCTCATGATAATCCTGGGAAATAGGCAGGGGCATGAGTCATTATCTTTGTTTCACAGAAGATAAAACTAAGATTCAGTTAAGTGGTTGGCTTAAGGCCTCACAAATAAGTAGCAGAGTTAAGACAAGCCAAGTCTTGGGCTGTTGACATTTTACCGAGGTTCCTATCATGCTCCTTCACTTTTAGTGGAGGTGAAACGGATTCATGCCTTGTAGCCCCAAGCCTGGGATTCCAGTTCCTGTGCTCTCACTGAGCCTTGGGGCCTTGTTCAACTTCTCTAAGCCTGGGTTACCTTGTTTCTAAGCTGGAAACACTAATAACTGCCATCCAGCTGTGTGTCATAAGAATCAAATGAAATAATATACATGTAAGTGCTTTGTAAATGGAAAAGTGCTTTCTATACAAATGTAAGATGATGATTCATATGGTTGTAGCTCAGGCTAAATAGATTCAGAAACTTGCTAGGCAGAGCTATTTTGAAACGTGTGGCAAGGACCAGAATTTAAGCTTTTCCTTGCTTATATAACATGACAGAGTAGCTAATGTTAAACATCAGAGAATTTGGTGTTAAAGTATCTCTATACTTGTAGTAATAGTGAGAATCACACCACTTCAAAAATGTGCGAAAATTGCTTGGAGGATGCTAATCTATCAACACAGATGGGGGTGGAGGATGATGAGAAAGGGATTGGGGGGGGGTGAAGCTCTTGATGAACATTCAGACCTAAACTGTGTCTTCTCTTTCCTCATTGTGTTCTGTCTTACTGTCCTTCTGCATGACGCGGGACACAAAGCATTTCCTTATCCATTCGAATAGTACTTATAGTTAGAGAATTGAAACTGACTACATTGACCCATATCTTACATTTTAAAAATTATTCATGGTGGTGAGAATTTTTAGAATTTAAATAGTATGAATAAACTACCACATATAAGTTACTACAATCTGAAGTTCATTTCATTTGAGAGCTTTTACTACTTTGTGTATATATGTCTTAAATTTGCTGATTTATGTCACCTTGTGTTATCACTGGATTCACAGATTAGTCATGCCTGTGTGTACTTGTTATGGTGCTATGAAGGATGGAGTTTAGAAAGCTATTTAGATTGTTTTAAAAAATCCCCCTTTCTTTTTTTTTTATTATGTTATGTTAATCACCATACATTACATCATTAGTTTTTGATGTAGTGTTCCATGATTCATTGTTTGTGCATAACACCCAGTGCTCCACGCAGAACGTGCCCTCTTTAATACCCATCACCAGGCTAACCCATCCCCCCACCCCCCTCCCCTCTAGAACCCTCAGTTTGTTTCTCAGAGTCCATAGTCTCTCATGGTTCATCCCCCCCCTCCGATTTCTCCCCCTTAATTTCCCCCCCTTTTTTTTAACATATAATGTATTATTTGTTTCAGAGGTACAGGTCTGTGATTCAACAGTCTTACACAATTCACAGCGCTCACCATAGCCCATACCCTCCCCACTGTCTATCACCCAGCCACCCCATCCCTCCCACCCCCACCACTCCAGCAACCCTCAGTTTGTTTCCTGAGATTAAGAATTCCTCATATCAGTGAGATCATATGATACATGTCTTTCTCTGATTGACTTTATTTCACTCAGCATAATACCCTCCAGTTCTATCCACGTAGTTGCAAATCATTTCATAAGTTATATTTTCCTTCTAAGTACAGCTAAATGTTGCAAAGTTAATGACAATGTTCTTTGTAGAATTGATTTATTATCTTAACAATTTTTTAGTATTATGTATTCAAAAATAAATTTTGTCATAGAATCACTTGTGTGACCTCTGGTAAAGTAAATGTCTTAAATTCATTTTGAGTTCTATATCTGATGAATATTGATCTAGGACATTTGGCCTCTATAGGTTCTTGGTGAATAATAAAGTTTTTTTATTCAGTAAAATACCTTAGGACAAATGTTATTGGGTTCAAATCAGGCAAATAGAATGCCAAAAAATGTTGCTAGTAGGGACCATTAAAAGAAAGTTTCTAGAGCTCTGGATGGAACAAGGTTAACCATGGCCTCGTGGTTGCTGGGACTTAGTGATGAGTACTCAGGGCTTACTATAATACTATGCCTGCTGTGGAGTAAGTTATAAACTCTCCTTAATAAAAAGTTGAGTAATAAAAAAAAAATTCTAATATTGTCATTATTCTGAACAGCTTATTACCTTTCAGGCTTTTCTTATGGATGTTCATTATTTTAAGTGTTCTAGAAATTTCTCAGATTATCTTCCTTCACCATGTAAATGGAATTTCACTTTTTATTTTAGGGTGGTGATGCCACTGAAGCAACTGCCAAACCAAAGAGAAGCTTTTATGCTGCGAGGGATCTGTACAAATATCGACATCAGTACCCAGTAAGAGTATAGAATGTTTTTTCTAAAATGCAAAATATTTCCCTTCTGTTTTTCTTATTTTGTGGTGCTAGTAAGCAAACATGCAAGAAGAGTCCTGTGCCTTTTTTATATGTCCATATGCTGGAGATTGACTTATTTTTTTCCTTTAGCAGAACTTCAAAGATATCCGATATCAAAATGACTTGAGCAATCTTCGTTTTTATAAGAATAAAATTCCATTTAAGCCAGATGGTGAGTAATCTGCTATCCTGGTAAAAAGCAAACTTTAAATAATAACATATACCTAGTTGTTCTTTGTTTATTCTGTGGTCAGTAGCTTTTTAATGCATTTGTTCATTGACTGGCTTTACTTTGGTCTGTAGTCTAATGTGTCCCCACAGTCCTAGACTCTAGAGTTGTGAACATCCACTTGGCAATTTCTGGAGGAATAACTGTGAATTAGCAATACCTTCCCCCCACTTGTTCATGGTGGCTATTGTATTAAAGAAAGTGGGGGCCCCTTCTGTGAGAGGCAAAGAGTTAAGATTTATAAATTTATAGAATCATAGAATATTAGATTACTAAGAAACTTTAGAGGAAATCAAATTAATCTTGCTCATTTTAAAGATGAGGTTACTGGGTCTTAAAGTTTGAACGACTGACTTGTTTGATCACTTGACTGTAGAGTTGGGTCTAGGATCCAGAGTTCAGTATTCTTTTCACCAAATTATTTAGAACATAATTGAAAAGTAATGTTTATATTAGAATTATCTTTCCTGTTGATTTTCAGAGTCAGGGGTCAGGGAGCTCCAGCAGTCCCAGTTCAGTGTTCCAATATCCTGGGAAGGGAACTCCAGAGACAGTAGATTTCCATTCAACTCTGCCAAATAAACTGCCTCCTCCTTCACAACTGTACAAAACTGCCCTCGTAGGATCTTTTCTAAGATTCTCCCCCTATAGGGAGAGGATGCATCCACTATGGTAATATGCATATTTCCCTGAGGCACCATGCTGTGGTTCATGATGGGCATCCTAATTTTATCCAGGTCAAACCAGCCAAGTTGGCATCTCTCCTTCTCACCCTTATCTCTGTGAGGTGACCAGATGGCCCTGGCTTCTGCTCTTTGTTCTTAGTGGAAACTGAGCCATATCCACAGCCATGTGAGTCAGGGAATGAGGCTCATAGACTGCAAAGCTTTCCAAGTAGCAGGACTACATTCTTTGGTGAACTAACTGGATGAAGGCTGTCTGAAGGCTGGGTGGAGTGCTGGGAGGAGGAATTCCTCTACTGTGTACTGAGAGATGTGATAGTTGGGAGTTTGGACTTAAGAACATTGTTGCAACGGCCAGATTGTGTCCCCAAAATCTGCTCTGATTTAGGAGGAAGCATCTGGATAAAAGTGCTCTGTTGTATTTACTAATGATAGAAACACACCACATTATTTACTAATTGAAATAATATTAATTAAATTATTAGGGTTTTTTTTAGGGCCTGGGACAAGAAAACCTTTTGAAGAAATGCAATGATAGATTAATTTGACTCTGACTTGAATTTAATAAAATTTACCTAAAGGAATGCCTTTAAATATTAAAAACATTGAACATGACAGTATTTAACTGAATTATTTTTGTATTTCTAGTAGTGAATTTATTTTTGAGGTAGTAATTTAAAGTAATAACTTCAAGCACTGCATTAATTTTTTTGTAATCTTTACCACAAAATTTATTTTGAAATCTTATAGGGTTGGTAGGGGTCAGGAGGAGTTTTATCTAAGGTCACATAAAATGTTATTCTAGTTTATTATATAAATTACATAAACTCACCCACTTTCCTCCCCAGTATGTGTACACATACGCATATCCTTCCCCCCACCCCACACAAACACTTGCCAATAAGCATAAGCCTGCAATGATGTATTTTAATTATTAAGCAGGAGGAGGGGTAGTGGGAAGGGAAATCATGGGGTAAATGGTTTTAAAAACGCTGATAGGGCCAACAGTATGATTCAAAACAACTTTTTACTCAAGCTTCCAAGAGTAGACTTCTACTACAAACTGGTGATCTGTGGTGGAAACGAGAATGAAATCAATTACGTTTCGAGAAATATGTTGTGTTTTTTTTCTGTAAAATTGACTAAATGGCCACGTAGTCAAATGTGGGGACCTAGACAGAGTTCGAGAAGCAGGACGGTTTTGTTGTACAGTTGGCCCTTGAACGGTGGTGTAGGGGTAACGGGCCCTAACCCCTGTGCAGTCAGAAATCCACGTGTAACTTTTGACTTCCCCAAAACTTAACTGCTAATAGCCTCCTGTTGACTGGAAGCTTTACCAGTGGCATAAATAGTTGATGAACACATATTTTGTATGTGATAGGCATTATGTACTGTATTCTTACCGAAAAAGTTCAAACTCAGTGTTGTTCAAGGGTCAGCTGTAATAAGTTCTTATGCGGAAACAGTAGGATGTGGTAAACAGGGCTTAGTTTTTGGAACCAGAAAGACCTATATTCTACTCCTAGATTTGTTCTTTTGTTAGCGTGGGACTTGGAACAAATCATACAATGTCCTCATTGGTAAGATGGGGATGGTAGCACTGGCTTGGGAGAGTTCTGTGGCGATGAAGCTGGACGGTGTACACTGTGTGGGTGCACGCTGTGTACCCACATGGGTCCTTCTGTTTTTCCTTCCTCTCCTTCCTTCTCCTTTTTCATGCTTTTCTCCCTCTCTTTCTGTTCTCTCACCTCTTTTATTCCTTTCTTTTTCCCTGGGCTACATTTCATTTTGATCCCGTCTTGCATTTAAAGAACTAAAAAAATAAATAAATAAGATAAAGAACTTAGGACCATCTAGGGCAGGGGTTGACAAACTTTTTCTGTCCAGGGCCAGATAGTAAATATTTTCAGCTGTGTGGGCCACATGGTCTCCGTTGCAGTGTGCATGGCTGTGTTCCAATAAAACTATCTCTAAAACAAATGCCATAGTTTGTCAACTGCTTTAGAGTAACCCTGTCTGATAGAACTTTCTGTAACTTGAGGCGCCACTGAGTTTTGAAAAATTAGGCCTATTACATAACTGAGCATATGGCATAGGGTATGCATCTTGGCATAATTTCTGCGTGCTATTACTAAATGTCAGAGGTTTTAATATAAAGATTAAGTGGTTAAATGTGAAAGTGCCTTCAACAATGTCGTAAATGTCTGGCTCATTTTCTAAATATTTACTACTTAGGTGTTTACATTGAAGAAGTTCTAAATAAGTGGAAAGGAGATTATGAAAAGCTGGAGCACAACCACACTTATATTCAATGGTCAGTTAACATTTCTGTATCTTGAACCGTGTCTATTTAATCATGTATGTTTTCCAGATAACATTAATATTTATTTTTCTAAAAAATAGGCTTTTCCCCCTGAGAGAACAAGGCTTGAACTTTTATGCTAAAGAATTAACTACATATGAAATTGAGGTAATGCAAGCTCATTTCATTTTATAGGAGATGGCCAGATAATATTGCTATTTTATTGTCCTGGTAACTACCGAATCATTTCAGCTGACTTTTCCCCCCCCTTAGGAATTCAAAAAAACAAAAGAAGCAATTAAAAGATTCCTCCTGGCTTATAAGATGATGTTAGAATTTTTTGGAATAAAACTGGTTGATAAAACTGGAAATGTTGCTCGGGCCGTTAACTGGCAGGAGAGGTTTCAGCATCTGAATGAGTAAGTAAAGCCCCCGCAGTGCATCAGGGGCCAGCATGTTATTTTTTCTGGGTTGGAATTCTCTATGGAACATAGGAACAACTAGTGGATGGACCCAGGAATTTGAATTCAATAGCTAGTCTGAAATGCCTTTTAGTCCTTGTTCTATGTTCTAAAGCACAACAAAACAACAAGAAAGAATGAAATTGCAGGTAGGAATAAGGCCATTCCTCTTCAAAGCTGTTTCTTCCTGAAACCTGTCTACTGCCCAGGCCAAGTGTGGCCTCTCTCCTTCTTTATACCATGGTTCTTGGCATTTATACTTATTTCTTGTATAGTTTTCCACATCCCCTCTGCTAGGTTGTGAGCTTCTTGCGGCACAGTCTGTTTGTCGAGCATGGTACCTTGTTAGATTAAATCCATAAATTAGGCCTATGACATATAAAAAATCATTTTATAAGACTGAGATGTGCCTGTACATTTCTAAAAAAGAGCGAAAATTAGAATTTTCATTATTTAGGTAAAAAACAAAAGCCCACTTTTGCTTACTAAATCCTAAAACCTGTGAAGAAAATTTAACGTGGTTTATTTGGAATTGATTTGCTGTATTCTTTTGCCTGGATATTTATAACTTTCATTAATACTTATAGCCAAAGTTTATTTTTCTTATTATTTTCTTTGTATGCAAACTGATTTTTTTTTCTTTTTAATTATAGGGTGACTTATGAATGCTGGACCATAAAACCAGCAACTTTAAAGCATTTTTTTTGTTAGCACATTATGATTAGCTGAGCTGGGCAAGTACCAAGGAAAAAAAGTAACCTAAGAAATTTTTCTTTGCCCAACAGTTTTGAGCATCAATTAGCTGAATTTTTTGGTCTTTTTCTAGAACTTTCATCTTGCTTTGCTAAAATTAGTATAAGTATTACTGCTTAAGCCTTCTTTTTACTTTATTAGTCACAGTCAACACTATTAAAATGGTAGCTTGTACTAAAACACTGAAGATATGGGCATAAAGCTTTATGATCCTGACTAGAAGACCCATTAACTCATAACTCAAGTTAACTTTGATTTATATAGGGCACTTACAACAGAAGCATATCTACCTCTGCCTAAGCAATGTGGGTAGCTGTCTCTGGACAGAGTTTCTGAGCATTTCTGTCATCCCATCAACGGAAGCTATATGCAAGTAGCCTACTGACCTGAAGGACGGCAGCACCACTGTCATTTTAGAGAATCGCTGTCTCCAACTTCTTGGAATAGCATTCTTGTTTAGTAAATGTTTGTTGAACGAACAAACAATGAACAAAAGACATTTGCCAGTTTAAATTCTCCCTGGAGTTTTATTTTCAGATCCTCTAACTGATAGCTGGAAACAGAATCCTTCTGAAAGTTTTAATTAAAATGATCTCCTGGCTTGGGTCAGGGGAAGGGAGCCTGAATTAACCATCACATTCCCTGGCCCCATTCAGATCCTTTTCTTTCTACCGCCCACCGTCTCTCATTTCCCTTTCCCTGGGTATTGCACAGAGTTTTTATTTGTGTTTTAATCTGTGTGACATCTTGAGTTTCTTAGAGTAGGCAGGAAACTCAATATATTTATAGTAGCCCAGCAGACAAAAAAGTATTGAATGAAAGTGAAATGAAGTAACGTTCAGTGAATAAGTGACCATGACTAAAAAAAGTGAAATATTTTCAAACACGGGAGTATAAATATATAGACCAACCACTCAGATGTATTTCCAGGTTTCTTTGTAATCACCTTAGATTATGGAGCCATACTTTAGACTCTGGAACTGCTTCTCACTTTTATTTTCTGCCTCCTGGTTCTTGCCTTTTGTGTGTTCTCTCTTCACCTATCTGGTCTTCCTGACACCTGGGGCCCTATTTACCACCCTTACTTCTTTCGGGAAGCCCGGCTTCTCTCTTTTATCTGCTGTGCAACCCCAAAGACTGCTCATAACATTAGGAGGGTTTTAGCTGTTCTCTTCTCTTCCATTTTGTCTTTATTTGTCATGTTTATTTCAAATCATACTGAAGCACTCAATTTCTCCCTTGTATACTTCTGTTCCATAATCCTCATTTTCATTCTCTTCAACCCAAGTATTTGTCCTTTTCTACTGTTACATAAGTATTTTAAATCGGAGAGTATATAGATACAGATAAATGTGTACAGAAATTTCATCTTGGCCATTCATCTAAGACTGGGTATGTGCAGTTGAGCTGGTTGCAATAGAGTAAATTTTGTTGGATCAGGTAACTCATCTTTGGGATTTTTAAAGAAAAATATTCCCTCCACTTTTCCATACATCTCCTTCTCAGATTTATGAAGCAGATGTTGCTCAAGGATTTTATCACTAAGTTTTTGGAGAAGAGAAACTCCATACTAACCTAACACTCAGTCAGCTCTGCTGCTAATGGCACATGGTCTTAACCTCATTCAAAATGCATGTTGTCTTAGAAGACTCTTACTTCCTCACTATTAAAAAATACAGATTCATAAGACACAAACATCCCTGCTATGTTTTACCCCTTTGGCCTCAAAGAGTCGAATATTAGGATAATACTTTTGTGGTAAACATCCAGAAGAACAGGGGTGGTGAAACTGCTGGACTTGTCTTTACTGGGATTTGGCTAGCCTGAATCATGAAGGTTTTTGTTTTGTCCAGATAAGCTTTCCTATTAAAATGTAAGACTGTGGAACCATCCCCTTCTGTCCCTCAGATAATTCAGCATCCTTCTTCACTTTTCCCAAATAATTTGCTAGCTCTTTGTAAGTGAAATACTCCAAGTGCTTTTGGAAACCAAAGCAGGCATATGCATTGCTTGTATAAAGTTCAATGTCCAGTGTATAAAACAGGTTTTAGGAAGCTAGAAATAAGTGGTGGTTATGGTTGTGTGTCAGTATAGGGTAAGTAAATACCTGCGCTGTTGATGATGGATGCAGCCAGGTATTTGTAATAAGGCAACTATTGCCCGGTGTTGTAGGGCAGATATATTTTGAATTGTGAGAGATACAGGCTTGGAAAGCCTTCCATCTGATAAAGGCCTTAGTTTGGGGATAGAGGAGAAGTTTGTGCAATTTGGGGAAAAAGGTGTCTTTGGAGTCCATGCCATTAGAAGCAAAATTTAAAATACTCTGGGGAAAAAGGAGAGAGAGGCCACGGGGGGAAGACAATTAGGTGATTAAGTTGGGAGAGGTACATAGAGGTGGCCCTTAGTACCATATTTAAAATCATAACAATAACAATGTGAATTTTAAATAGTATCTAATATTTTTTGAGTTCTACATGCCCTGCATATGTCTCAACTCATTTTGATTCTTCTAACAGTCCAGTAAGATGGGCCATTTCCCCTATTTTACAGATGAGGATACTGAGTCAGAGAGCGATACTGTAACTTCACATAGCTGTGGGTGGTAGAGCCATGGTGCAAACTCAAGTGTGACTCCAAAGCCCATGCTCCTAACTATGTTCTGCTAAAGAAGTCAGTTTTGCATCCTTTGTCAGATTGTTCTAGCAAGGTAGAGTGGTTTTTGCTGCTTTCCTTATAAGTTGGCTAAAATGGTGGATTTTGCTGACACTGTGAATCATATCTTCAGCGGACAGCTAATGTTGCATTTATGTTTGGTACCAGTTACCTGTGGTGGGTACAATACAGTTGGTGTTGTTGCAAATAAATGCTCCGGTAGATCACATCCTCAGTGTACTTAATAAACAACAATTCAACATCAGTGGGAATCAGTTTTAGATCTAAATATTTTTCAGATATGAAGAACTAAAGCAACAAGGGGAATTTATATTATGTATTTGAATTTCACATAGATTGGCATTACACTGAAGTATAAGGTTTCAATAACGTCTGATTTATTCTTCCCATGGTGTCTAATACGACTTTCAGTAAAGTCATTGTTCGGTTAAAAAATATTTTTCCAATATTTTTCTTTCCCCTGCTTTCCTTCACCTGATTTCCACACCCCCCAACATTTTATTCAATCCTCTCTTTCAGGTCCCAGCACAACTATTTACGAATCACTCGTATTCTTAAAAGCCTCGGTGAGCTTGGATATGAAAGTTTTAAGTCTCCTCTTGTAAAATTTATTCTTCATGAAGCTCTTGTGGAAAATACTATTCCCAATATTAAACAGAGCGCTCTGGAGTATTTTGTTTATACGATTAGAGACAGGAGAGAGAGGAGAAAGCTCCTACGTTTTGCCCAGAAACATTATACGCCTTCAGAGAATTTTATCTGGGGGCCACCGAGGAAAGAACAGTCAGAGGGAAGCAAAGCCCAGAAAATGCCCGCCCCTCCCACCTCTGGTCATATCAGTCAAACTTCTATGCACAAAAAATCCAAGGACTCCAAAAATTCCTCCTCAGCTGTTCATTTAAATAGCAAAACGGCGGAAGAAAAAAAGGCGGCCCCTGGAGGGCCTGGAGAAGAGACAGACAGGCCAGGCGCCGAGCCCAGCCGTGAAGCTACCAAGCCTGGAAACACAGAGGATGGTAAGGCCGAAAACTCGAATTCTGACGCGGAAAAAACAGGCACCAATCCCACAGAGAGGAAGGAGAGTGCAGCGCCCGCTGAGAACGAGGAAGAAGGTGAAACTCCTAACAAAGACTGTGAAGATCCTGGAACTGCAGGTTCCCCTGGTGAGGGACAATTACAGTGAACTATGAGACCGCACACCCCAGCAGTAGGTAAGCGGGAGGAACCTGCAAGGTCCCCAGAAGAGTGGAGGTCACCTTGCAAATTTTAGCCATTCGTTTGTGATTTCTGTTGTCAACGTTTTGTTGTTGGTTTTTCATTCTGAATGACAATGAATTTAATCTTTAGTGGGAGGTTTTAAGCAAGACCCAATAAACGAATGTATTCTGTAATGCTTTTAGGGTGTGACTTTTCAAATTCTGTCCGTAGTAATTGCTTTTAAATTATTTTCAATGTGTCTAGAAATAATCATGTAGTATTTGATATATCAGATAAATTCTTTGGGAGATGCCAGTCTACACGAATAAAAAGCAAGAGGATAAATTTCATTCTGTTGCCATGCTTTTGCCCAATTTATGGATTTATTTCTTAAGCTGGAAAAACAAATGTGGTCATTTCAGACTTTTTCGGAAAGTAATTTGGACTCATCACTGCAACACCTCCACATGCTTATTTTTAAATTCTGGTGTGTGAAATTTGTGTTCTCGGGGAGCGATCATCTCCCAGCCCATTTCTTGGGCCCCACTCTCCTTTCCTCGTTCCGTCTCTCTGCACTTGCCCTCATTTGCCATCTTTGTCAGCCAGCATGTACTTTTCTAGAGTACGTTCAGGTGATCCCCTGTACTGAAATTTAAGTGGAACAGAGGGGGCACTTTCAACTGTACGATAACCAAGAATTTGCTTTTTTTAAAATAACAAAAATGTTTTTCTATGTTAGATGCTTAAGAACCAATTTTGATGCAAAAGTCCAAGAAAAGGATTTTGCTTTTATGGCTGTTCTATATAAATTTGGTGCTTGTTTCTGAATGCAAATGACTAAAGAATTAAAAAAAAAAAAGGAAAGAAATTATTCATTTTTAAACAGCATGCTTCTTATACTGGCAACAAGGCAGTGGTCCCTAAATCCTTGACTATCTGTGTTCCGTGGGCTATGAAATTAATAAGAGTGCTTAGTCCAGAGTATCTTTAAAAAAGAAAACAATTTGATGTGTCTCTAAGTTGTCAAACCTTGAAATTGAGAATAGATTTAAAATTCCATATCCTTAGGTTTAGCAAGCCCTTAATGTGTTGATACTGGTATTAAGAGCAAGTAATTTTATTTCCAGTACTACTATTACTAATTAATATTACAAATCCGAAAATAATCAGAAACGCTGTGGTGGGAACTTCAAAGCATACATACAAATATAGTTAAAGCAATTAATAGAAAAAAATTTCACTTTCATTTGTGGAGCGGAATTAGCTCTTGTATGTCTCTTGGGCTTTTAGATTTCACTTTAACCCCCCGAGAATTTTTACTATGTCCTATTTGTTAGTCATATCATACCATCTTCTGTTACCTTTATGATCAGGGGATTTCCGGCAGAGGATTTCTCGAGAATATATCAACAGTATGCCTTTAGAAATACTTTATTGCTTTGAAGTTTACATGAAACATCACAGTTGCTCAAACTTAACTTCTTAATATGAATATTAGTAACCAAGTTGTTTATCATAGTCCAATTAATATACAGCGTTTTCTCATTTTTGGTTCCCGTAATATCCCATTTTTGCTTTCTCTTGTTTTGTGAAGTGAGCATAAAGATTTGGGGAAACAATTCTGCTTTTGCATTTCAGTTTCTTTTTTGTATGGACCCTCTAATGTGGTGCTTGTAGCAATGTCCCCTTAGAGCCAATAAACAGTGTTCCAGAATTAGACAGTGAGAGTAGTTGTCACATTGAACCGAATTGTAGTAACATGATTAATTCAAAATATCTTACCAATTTTGAATACATGATAAAGTGGTCAGACTGCTTTCTAAGTGTATAATATTAAAAATTTGTGACCAGATATTAAGATATTAAAAAACAGTGGACAGAGACTAAAATAAATGGTTATAATCTGAAATGACTTGGAAACTGTAGTATATCAGAGCCATTACAAGTAAAAACATTTCATTCAACAGTTTAACTTTTAGAATATTATTCCTAATTAGGGTTTTGATTAGATTGTGCCAATTAATTTGAGAATATTTAGTCTCAAGGGAAAAACTGCCTGGCTTCCATTTAAAACAGTGGCCTTTTCCCACTATGTCGTTTTTAAGATCCATATTCATATGTAATAGTATGATTCCTCTATTTAATCTGCAAATAATTTATGAGAGAATTCTTCAGTGGAGAACAAGTGAGGGGATGTCATTCCTTCGGCAAATAAAAATTATGAGTGTCTGGAATTTTTTTTCTATAAAGAATACTTTGTACAATTAATAGTTTTTTAACTAAGATCTATAGATAACGTATTTAAGTGGGTCTTAGGTATGAAACAGCCCTCTGGGTTTGACTGTGATGTTTTGTATTTTTAAAAACTACCATATGCTTGCAGAAATTTATTGAGAAGCTGTTTTAAAAATGCAGCAAAGCATGGCCAAATAGCTAGAAACATTATTGAATCTTTGCAAATATATAGACTTTATTGTTGTACCTTGGACCGCGAGGATATAAACATTGGCTATTGATAAAATATTAAATTGCATTTCATGGCAAATAGATGTTATATCGTTTGGTTAGTCTAGTACATTTCTAATATTTTGTGCTTTCATATCTCTAAGGAGATAATATATGTGAAAGTATTTTGAGATACTGTAAAGTGATATAATTATAAGATATATTTCTGTACAGTAGAGAAAAAGTTTATAACATTAAGAATATTGTATCATTATACCGTTTCATGCTTAATTTCATAAGAAACTCAAAAGAATCATGATAGAAGTGAAAATGTGTCTGCTTTCTCTAATCAGGTCTAGTTCTCAGTTCAAAAATTATTTTATATAGTTTTATTTTGAATTTAGATTTTGAGACTACTTTTTTTTCAGCTTCAAGTAGAAAATAAAATGTATAACTCAGGAGTTACTAGAGAAGTTCCAAGATTTTTTTTGCGAAGTATTAAAAATACAAGTATATAAAAATGTCACTTAACAACCATCATTGTCATTATGTTTCATATTTTGTTGTATAGAATTACCTACTTTGCTTCTAGCTTTTATGCTTTAATCTGAGTGAAAATATGATCTGGCGAAAAAGGAAAAACAGTGCCATGTTCTATCTGAGTTGCTCTTTAAAAAAACATTTTAGTAGGTAAACTTCCATATCAAGTGGTCAAAAACTGGTTGGAACTGATAGAGACTATTTGGTTAATTGTTTAAAGTTAAATTTCCCAAGTTTAAAATAGAATTATGATTGAGTTTATACTCTGTTGAGGAACTGAATCAACCAGGTTTTTTGTCTTTCTATAATTGAGGTTCTTCTAGAAGTTTTATTTCCTAACTTGAGAAAAGAAGGACATTCTTGATCTTACTTGAATGTTGTTTCGTCTATGGGTCTCCCATGTCTATTTGGGCTGAGTGGGAATTCTTTGTTATAGGAATGGTTTTGAAGACTTCTAATTTGTTTCCCCACTTAGAGAATTCCCCTTTGTCTTTTGGGGTATATGTGTTAAATATAAGGTAGGCTGGAGTCAGAATTGCTAGAATCATTTCAAATGCAAGTGTGGTTGTAGAGAATGATGACAGGTAGTCATCATAGTATGGGTCAATCAGAGTCAATGTAGGATCTAGAAAATTAGGAGTTACATGTTTTGGCGTCTTTCAGCTTCGAATTCTGTAGTGTTTATGACATGAACAGATTTGTGTGGGTAATCCCTAGGGTGGCAGTGAGTACTAGCCTGCCTCCTTCCCTGTTCTGTTATCCAGCCCACCCAGCAGATTGTGTTCAGGGACAGGCTGTGTTTTTAGGAATCCCTTATTACTGAAGTTAATAATAATATAGTTATAAATATGAACGCCTGGAGGTGTCCAGATGTGCCTTAACTAATGTAAATGGTTTTCATTCAGAAGTTTAAATTTTTACTCCATTATAAAATCTTGCCATGAGGAACTTTCCAAACCATGAATATCAGTTATTTTAATGAATTTACCTTGGTGCTTTTTCATTTTGGAGAAATTTCCCTTTGTGAAAATAGCATTAGTTCATAAGGAATTGTACTTGCCACGGTGTTCAACAATGTGTTATATTTGACAAAAAGTGTTTACGGTAAGAAAGATTAACTACATTGGTACATTTATTTATGCTCTTGCTTGATTTTGCTACATGCTATGATTTTCATTTTAAACATTTCTCAGTTACTACAAGCAATATTTATCTGTATTTTGCTCTCTTCTTAGCTGCAGATGGATGCAGAAAATGGAATTCTATTAGAGACTTATTTAAAAGTTTAATTCCAGTAAATGGTCAGAGGAGTCTGAAATTAATTTTCTTATTAGAAACATTCAAAAAGCACTGTTTTTGCTTTTTTTCCTAGATTAGAATGTTTTTTGTCATCTGCTTTTTTCCTGATCTGTTGAGAATTATTGTTTTAGTTATTTGTGGGGAAATCGCTTCTTAAAATGTTTGTTGCTTGAATTAAAGTTTTCATATGGACGATACAATTAAGTGCTTTGTTTTATGGCTCAAACTACGCCTGGAAGTAGAGTTGAGAATGGGGACTAAGAATCAGGTGGGCAGGCATCTTGGTCAAGTGGAGCTGACACTGGGTTCCAGTCTCTCCAAAGGCATGATGGGTCCTCAGAGCTTCCTCTGAATCATGAGGGTGTTGAGCTCCGTTATCCCTGACTTCTGAAGAAGGTGGACTGCCTTGGACTCCATACACAATTTTAATAGGTATCAATTTTCACAAAATATCTGTTATAATTTGCTACCATTTTGTAGTTGTTTAGGAAATTGTGAGCAATTAGACACCTGCTATGTAAATTGTAGCTGAATCTTTATCTTGGGAAACATTGAAATACCATTTCCGCCCACCCCTCCTCCCAGTTCTTCAATCAAAAATTCTTTTGAGTTGTTCTTTCATAGGTAAATATTAAAAAGTTTTTATAAAATGACTCAGTGTATTTTAAAAATGAACTGAAAGGGAAAAGACATTGATGCCTACTTGTTACACTGAAAGACCTTGTTTAAAAAAAAATTAGAAACCTTATGAAAATATATTTAAGCTATGAAGTTTATCATATTTTCATTTTTAAATTATAGCAGAGTTTATGGAACAGTTTACTTTTTAAATTGTAGCAGAATTTATGGAACAATTTACATTTACATTACGGAGAGATTAGTTATATAATAATCTTGGTCCTAAGAAATGTTCAAGTTCTGTACTCACTGGTCAAATGGTCATTATTTTTTTCAGTGCTAAGAGATTTAGTTTCAGGTAAAGAAAAGGAAAACACAAATGGAACAAAAGATTAAAAACAGTAACAAGAAACTTACCACAGAAATAAAGATATAACCAATGATGTGTCTGTACAAGTGACAGAATTGTTGGGAGCAGATGAGCTGTACAAGCTTTATGGTGGGGATATGATTTCAGAATTAGCTCTATGTTATTTGTGCCTAGGAGATTAGGGATTGGTGTGCAAACAGAATCCCATTAATACTCTCATCTGAACCATGACTTCCACCTACTCCACAGTAGACTGAAACCTTTCAGTAGATAGAAGTAGGCAAATAATCAGATACTAAGTTTAATTTCTTTGCCAGTGTGTTTCAACAGTTGGTGGTTTTACTAACCAGAAATTAAACTGAGGGACTGGCTGAGATAGGATTCAGTAATAAGGTTGTCTAGATATGAAGTAACTATCTCCCACAGGAGAGTTGACAGCATATTGTGCGGCGTTACAATTAAGAGATGAGAGCAAAGCATTAGCTTATCATTTGATAAGCATTTTTTTTTCATTTTTATAAAAAGACCAATGACTCACTTTTCCTAAAAAGCTATTGGCCTTTCATTAGTATTACCTAAGAAGATAGATGGCCAACTGGGTCCTGGCACTATTTTCACCTTGGAAACTACTGTGTCCTTTGTATGTTAAGTATTTCAGGAAAATGGGAAGGATTCTGAAAAGGCTGTGTGTTACTTCCCACGTAAGCTCTCACTGTCCAGCAGCCACCGGCCCTTCTCTGTGCTCCGTATCCTATTGCAGTATGAATTACAGGATGCTGTGCCTGTCTGTTAGTACCAACACCGTGTGTGGGGTAGGGGTTGTAACCAGTCTCTGGATGTGTATGGTACTATGAAACACTTTATAATTCTATAGTTGTATGGCGGTGTTAAGCCACAAATGTATAAAGAACAATAGTTTCTATTGCTTACTGCTGTGTTTTAAAATATTGTTTCTGAAATAATATATTTAGAGTTCCTTTAGAGTAATTATTTTTAAAAACTATTGCCAAATATCCTGTAAAATGAACAAAAGCCACTTCATCTTGGTTAACATTTTAGCCTTATGTTAGAGTACATTATCTTGATTTTGCATGATTAAAATATTTTTGAAGAGCTGGAACAAATGACTTGCTGTTTTTCTATGATTAGACATATTTTTATGATTATCATATGAGATCAACATTATTTCCTTTTATGTTGTAAAATAAATATTTGATTTTGAAGGGTGAAATCTTACATGTGAAGTTATTTTTGTTGCAAGATTCTGGAGGGCAAATCGCATGTGTAAATACTTGGATGTTTATTGTTTCTTGTTTTTGCTTTTCTCTAATTGCAAAGTTTAAAAAGTATGTTGAACACAGATAAATGAAAATGAATAATTAATGGAGATGACCTTCTTCACTAAAATAGTTCTGGTCTTTTTAATAAGAGTATAGTTGACACACAAGTTTACATTAGTTTCAGGTGTACAACAGGTGATTCAGTTTCTCTGTACGTCACGCCCAGATCATTACAAGCGTAGCTACCAGCCGTCACCCTACAACGCTGTTACAATAGCATTGTAAGAAGTCAAATGTTTGACTTAGAGAAATGCAGCTGTGAGGTGGAAGGGAAGAGGTTGCTCTAGATATCATGGGACTGTGTGGCTGAGGATGAAGAGGGGCTTGGCTCGACTGCTCTAGATAGGCAGGAAGAGAGAACAAGAGAACTAAGAATAGACTGTGGTAAGAATCAGGATGAAATGACATTGTGCATCATTGAGAAACTGTTAGAGAGGGAAAAAATAACAGCCACAGTGGTGAGGGAGCATGATTTTTAACTGCAGCCTTTGGGATTAATTGTTTAGTAGAGAGGAGTGCACGCAATTACTTTCATGAGAGAAGAATGGGCACATTGTGGTGATAGAAAATGGAGAAGTTTTCTTTTCCCCAAACGTTGAATGCCTGTAGGCAATGTAAAATCCTCAGAGATTGGACGAGAAAGTCAAGACTGAGTCTGCATTTCTTTAAGAGCATAAAATTTAATATGGAGAGAATTTGGAACAAAGATTTATAATGTGTTCCTTATTTTAAACCTCAAGTGGATGCAAAGCAGGCAAGCTGGTGTTCCAGGGAGGGAAGGAAATCCCAGCCTGGATAAAAGTAATGATGGGCAGTTTGGCTTCTTGTAGGTGATTTTACGCTTTGGCTATTGTGACTAAGGGGCTGAACTGACAGAGGGAACGTATAAAGGATTATTCTGCCCTTGGGATTATCCCTGAGAAAATGTTGGATTAATTGGAAGAGCATTTAAAAATAGGTTACTAAACTGGGGTGCCTGGGTGGCTCAGGCGTTAAGGGCCTGCCTTCGGCTCAGGTCATGGTCCCGGGGTCCTGGGATCGGGCCCTGCATCGGGCTCCCTGCTCGGCGGGAAGCCTGCTTCTCCCTCTCCCACTCCCCCTGCTTGTGTTCCCTCTCTCGCTGTGTCTCTCTCTGTCAAATAAATAAGTGAAATCTTTAAAAAAAAAATAAGTTACTAAAGACAGAGATTAGAGAGCCAGCATGGATTTGACTTAACTACTCAGGAAAACTGGGTTTATTAAGTAATTTTGCTAATACTAGTTACCATTCTACTATTTTTATAACCTTGGTGTATACTTAACACTACCAGTGAATATATAAATATTTTCTTTTCAAATGGTATATAACATTTTTGTTGTGATTGAAATAGCCTGTTTTCTCAACTCTCAGCTTTGGAAAAGGAAGATTTTAGAGGAAGAAGAATAAACAAAGAAGTGGTAGATGATGTGAACCAAATGAGATCTGACAGCTTACCTCAGAAAGCTGAGCTTGTCTGAGATCTTTGAATGGATGATTTGACTCTTGTCAGAAAGAGAAGTTCAAGAAAAAGCCCTGAAGGAGTAAAAAGTGAGGGCAAAAAGGTATTTTGTTTAATGGAGCAGAGCTGACTTTCAGGCCAGAGACTTGGATCCACATGGCAAAACCATCACTTATAGTTGGCTGTGTGGCTTTGGACAAGTCATGTAAATTCTCAGGGTCTTTGGTCTCTCATTGGTAATAATATCTATTTTGTGAGTTTCTTGAAAGGATTCAAGTGTAGGTTAAACATGAGGGACATATTCAAGATACTCCTTTGCAGTGGCTGCTAGTATTCTAGAAGAAAATGAGATGTTTGGTCATGACAGACATCATGGAGAATTTATCTCAATGGAAATCAATCTACTCTAATCTATGTTTTTCCAGATTTACAGATAGAAACAGGTATCTTATAGTTTTAGTGTCGTTTTTACTAAAAAAGCTACCAGGTATGGAATTGATGATTTTATGTTAGATATACTGATATCAACAGTATAGAAAATTTCCCTCACTGGGAATATAATGAATGTACAAAAGAGCCCTTTTTTACTCCCTTAGTATTTTTTTGAGTTGATTTCCCTTTTTTGCCAAGAATAAACTGGAGTTTGAGGCAGAACTGAAACCTTTTGATCAGGATCAGGAGATAATCTAGTTTATTTTAAGACACTATCAGTATTGATTTTTATCAAAAGCAGAAAATTTTGATTTCAAACCCTCCAAATAGATATTTACTTCATGTCTTAGTGGAAGGCCACTTAATAGTTAACACTATTTAAAAATGTGTATGTAGTTAATTCTATGAACATTGTGGCCTACTTGTTATTGTTTACTTATAATTAGAACTAGGAGGATGAATAATCTTGTGCTAAATAAATATTCATCTTTAAAACTTCTAAATTGTAGGTGTCTTCATACTGTGAAATTAAAATGGGGTCACCCTAGGTCTTGGGTCATTGTCCTGTTCAACCATTTGTCCTTTCAGAATGCCACCCACATACTATAAATAAGATATGAAATAAATACTCGTGGTGTAAAGAGAAGTTGAACAGTTTTGTTTTCTCTGGCACTCATTTCGACCGGTTTCCCCTCATTTTTCTGTTTCAATGTCCATATATGGGAAGGGGAATTACAGACTTCTATAGTTGGCAGTGAGTGTGGATCCTAATCTTCTAGATAATGAGGAGGTGACATGACTTTCCTCCCTCAAATGCTGCAGATGCAAGAGCTTGGGGTAGGACCTAAGCCTCCTGGCTCTCTATTCAGTGTGTTTGCAACGGGTGGCCCCTTTTAACTCTCGAGAACCCTTTGCTAATTAGAATGGTTTCAGAAGCATCAGTCTAGACAGTGGGTTGACCTGTGCCACAGTATTAATCGAGGACTGGAGTCCTCTCCACAGAAGAGTTTTTCTCGCTGCTGAGTGTATTTACCACTGGCCATTGATCAAGTTTGGCAGGCTCTGAAGCAGGTTCAAACATTTCCATGTGGAAGAGAAACCCACTGGGGCTCTGAAAATGAACTTTGAAAGCAGTCATCTCTGACCACGTGACTTTCTGTGCAGAGTAGCTCCTTTAGATCTCATCTCTGGGGTAACGGGGAGGTATCCGTTCGGTTGTCACCCTGACATTTCTGATCTCGTTGAATGGCTTCACTTTATCTCCAAACTGGAAACCGGGGAGCTACCTCAGAATTTTCATTTGTCACCACATCCAGTTGGACAACAAATTCTGTTAATTCTATTTCTCAAATTTGTCTCCACTCCACTCCCTCATGTGCATCCCCACTGTCCCCATAGGCCTTTATCTATTGCAAACAACTCCCAGTCTTCCCTCTGCCTTCAGAGAGAATGCAGCCTTCACAAGATCTTGGGTGCCTAACACGGGACTCAGCGCATAATAAACACTCAATAAACAATGACTGACTTAAAAAGATGTTTAGCAGTTATAAATTGAAACAAAGTGTGTAAGTTTAGGGACAGCTATTTCTGGATCCATTTCTGAAATAAAATGTTTTCCTCAAAACAAAGAGCCTTCAGAATGAGTTATTGTTATGACAAGTACAAAGATTTACGTTGAAACATTTCATAAGTATTTAATGCTTTGACAAACCTAGATCATAGTCTCTTCCTGGTTTCTTGGGTCACTTAGTAACAAATGTCATTAATTCAAATTCGAGGTTAAAAAAGGAAAGAAAATTACAGGATCCTAGTTTTCCTGCTTGGCTTGAAATTTTAGGTAAGATGAAGTATCAAAATTATAGTCAGTGGATCCACAAAGTCCCCGTTTCCATACCTGGCTGAGAGTTATATGCATGGAAATAAACAAGTGTGAGCATGAGATGAAGTCCCTCTGTACGAAAAGCATCTGGAGCGTTGGCAGAATAAAAGCAATTCCCTTAGCAGTTCACAGCAGAGCTGACTTTTTTCCCTCTGGTTTTACACTTTAGACCAAAATTCAGATTGACAGTAAAGGCCACACTTGAAGAAATGACTTTTTCCCTTACTGTTTGATTTTCTGATTATATTCCTTCTTTGATGTGGGCTTTTCTTTTTCCTACATGTTGACAACCAAATTGAAATGAAAAACTCACTTATCTTAAGATTTCATTAAATGGAAACCCTGTGGAAGTTTTCATGGATGGAAGTAAATGGTCATCCAAATTCTTTTAAACTTCATGAGCACTCTTTTTTTTTAAAATTTTATTTATTTATTTGAGAGAGAGAGAGAATGAGAGATAGAGAGCACAAGAGGGAAGAGGGTCAGAGGGAGAAGCAGACTCCCTGCTGAGCAGGGACCCCAATGTGGGACTCGATCCCGGGACTCCAGGATCATGACCTGAGCCGAAGGCAGTCTCTTAACCAACTGAGCCACTCAGGCTCCCTTCATGAGCACTCTTGATGAGCAATCCTAAGCAAGGCTTGAGTGTGTTGTATACTCAGAAAAACTTGAGCTAAACTTGACTTTGTGAAGAGGGCGACTCTTCATTCTGTTTGCCCTTTTTTAGCTGATTGTAATGAACTCAAATTATAAAAGTATAGTGAGGTCACAAAGTCACTCACACCAAACTCAGCCATGTAAAGAAAATGTAGCACCTATTTCTTAATAGCTCATCTGAGTCCAACCTCATGAGTCCCACCCTGATGTTTGGTGGGAACATCTTAAACTTGCCAATGGAACGATTTCTATCACTTCATGTTTATAGTTCTCCTTTTGGTTAAATATCTGGACTATTGAAAATTTGAATAAGAACCAGAATGACCCTGTTTCT